TGTAGTTGTATACCAGTATATGTGTTTATTTTTTGTTGTACATTTGTTATTTACTTTGAATTAGTTTAGTGCAGTTATTGGGTGGGAAAAATACCAATCCAGCAGTAAACTCTTGAAAAACATGTAACATTCAACTGGATTCTTATGGACATATATAGCTTAAAATGTATTCTCCATAAATGTACACAAAAAATCTTAAGAAACATGATCAGTAAAAAAGAGTTTTTAAAACGGGGAATAGGCGTCGTCAAAAAAATACAGAAATAAGTTGAATCAAAATGCTAAGATTATATTTTGATTCAACTTGTTTCTGAATTTTTTGCCGATCCCTATTCCCCTTTTTAATTTAACAGTTTTTACTAATTTTGTATATAATAGTTACAAAAGCATATCACTTCTTGTGTGCAGTTGCTGCAAAAGCATATCAGTTTTTGTGTATACACGTGTTACAACAGTGTCGGTTTATGTGTTACAACAGAGTATCTGTGTTTTTGTGTATACAAATATTACAGCAGGGTTTAGTTTGTATGTACACAAATGTTACAGCAGAGTGTCTGTGTTTTTGTGTATACAAGGGTTACAGCAGAGTGTCTGTTGTTGTTTCGTATTGAATACAGACTTTCGGTAAATTGCACTAATGTAGATCACATTTAACAGCTGCGAAAGGAATCGTTCACACTTTTTCCCTCATCTACCAACTATACCAAACATTTTTCTGTAAACATTAATTTAAGAAAACATGAATGTGCATTCCGTCCATCTCTGTTAGTAGAATTTGGACGAATGGACTGCTCAGCAACTGCCTATTGTACATCATTTAGAACATAGCGAATAACTGGTGTTACGTGTATACAACGACAATTATATGAACTATGGTTATTTATGTTATAAAATATTTCACACTTACACAACTCTTTGCCAGGCAAATTATTTGTATTATGTACTATTCAAGTTCTGAAGTTTCCTATTTAGACATAAACCACCTTTAAATAATCCAGGTAACTATAAGATTGATGAATAGTACCACCTATAAAGAATCCAGGTAACTATAAAATGAATGAACAGTACCACCACCTTGATCCAGGTAACTATAAAGTAGACGAACAGTACCGCCTACCTTTATCCAGGTAACTATAAAGTGGACGAACAGTACCGCCTACCTTTATCCAGGTAACTATAAAATGAATGAACAGTACCACCACCTTTATCCAGGTAACTATAATTTGGATGAGCAGTACCGCCTACCTTTATACAGGTAACTATAAAGTGGATGAACAGTACCGCCTACCTTTATCCAGGTAACTATAAAATGGATGAACAGTACCACCTACCTTTATTCATGTAACTATAAAATGGATGAACAGTACCACCTACCTTTAGTCAGCTAAGTATAAAATTAATAAACAGTACCACCACCTTTATCCAGGTAACTATGAAATGGATGAACAGTACCACCTACTTTTAGTCAGCTAAGTATAAAATTAATGAACAGTACCACCACCTTTATCCAGGTAACTATAAAATGGATGAGATTTACCGCCTACCTCTATCCAGGTAACTATAAAATGGGTGAAAGTGCCACCTACATTTATCCTGGTAACTATAAAATGTTATTGAGGTAAGTATAAAATCGATGAACTTTACCTCTTACCTATATCCAGGTAAGTATAAAATGGATGAATAGTGCTACCTACCTATATCCAGGTAAGTATAAAATGAATGAACAGTACCACCTACCTTTATCCAGGTAAGTATAAGATTGATGAATAGTACCACCTATAAGTAATCCAGGTAACTATAAAATTAATGAAAAGTACCATCACCTTTATCCAGGTAACTATAAAATGGATGAGCTTTACCACATACCTTTATCAAGGTAACTACCAAATGGATGAACAGTATCACCACTTTTATCCAGGTAACTATAAAATGGATGAACAGTACAACCACTTTTATCCAGGTAACTATAAAATGGATGAACAGTACAACCCCTTTTATCCAGGTAACTATAAAATGGATGAGCTTTACCACATATCTTTATCCAGGCAACTATAAAATGTATGGATAGTACCACCACTTTTATCCAGGTAACTATAAAATGGATGAACTTTACCGTCTACCTCTATCCATATAACTATAACATGGATGAGCTTTACCGCATACCTATATTCAGGTAAGTATAAAATGGATGAACAGTGCTACCTACATTTATCCAGGTAACTATAAAATGTTAGTGAGGTGAGTATAAAATCGATGAACAGTACCACCTACCTATATCCAGGTAAATATAAAATGAATGAACAGTACCGCCTACCTTTATCCAGGTAACTATAAAATGGATGAACAGTACAACCACTTTTATCCAGGTAACTATAAAATGGATAAGCTTTACCACATACCTTTATCCAGGCAACTATAAAATGTATGAATAGTACCACCAATTTTATCCAGGTAACTATAAAATGGATGAATAGTACCATCTACCTCTATCCAGGTAATTATAGAATGGATGAACAGTACCTCTTACCTTTATCCAGGTACGTATAAAATGAATGAACAGTACCACCTACCTTTATTCAGGTAAGTATAAAATAAATGATCAGTACCACCTACCTCTATCCAGGTAAGTAGAAAATGGATGAACAGTACTACCTACCTTTATTCAGGTAAGTATAAAATGGATGAACAGTACCACCTACCTTTATCCAGGTAAGTATAAAATGAATGATCTTTACCGCCTACTCGTATATGTTAAAAAACAGGACTTTGGAGAAGTCACTATAACAGCAAAAGTAAGCGGAAAACGTATAAAAAAACACCTGTATCTTCCTTGCCAATGAGCATATAAAGACCTACATTTTCTGTTACAGCCTATTCTATATTCTGAATCTATGTTTTATATAAATGGAGTGTTATTTTAACTTTTTATTAGAAATTTAACTTTGAGTGGATTTATAAAAGAAACATTTTACATTTAAAATGTTATAGAGGAAATAGACTGTAATCAGTAGTTAAAAAGTTTTTTCATTTTAGAAATGCACGTTTTTGTAGGCAGTAAAACATCTTGGACAAAGAGCATTTACCTTTACAAGTATTATTTAAGTAACAGTAAATGAACAACACATATTTACCCGGTGTAAGCCGTTCCACAGTCACGTACAGGTGCCAAGGCTAAAAATGGAAACAAAATGTTGAATTGTAGTTAAGACGATACTCGCTAGGGAACGACGCTGTTGATTGTTTTTAAAAGGACGACTCCGTAGAATGAAACAAGATCAATGCAAAGTTTAGTAGCGCCGCGCATCTGCAATGTCAGCTTACAATGAAGTATTAGAAGGGGTTCCCCTCGTTAGATCATTTATGTTTGGGGGCTAATTCCTGTTAGTAAACTTTTTTTTATCACTAATAAGTATAGGTGTCATTTTCAAACCACATGAGAAAACTTTTAACACCTTCTGTGACGATGCTTCCACCGTCGAAAACATTATGATATATTATTTATATAAATACCAAAACATTAACGGGAATTTAACCTTAATTTTAATATCAATGATTTTATTAAAATACTTAAATCATGATAAAAACGTATTAAAAGATTATATTCGTGTCAGATGTAACAGATTCTAACTTATTTAACTTATACGATAATCACTGGTTGTTTTTGTTTTTACATTTATATTTACAATTATATTGGTTATAAAAAGTATCTTGAGTAAGACATTACAAAATCAGAAAACATGTTTTTCACAATATTTTCTTATAACTAAAAGCTATTAATTGGTTCTCTTATTAAATCAAATTAATGAAACACTTTTAAAAAAAGACTAGAAACTGATGAGGTCCTTTCATTTTTTGTTGTTGTTGTTGCTCCTTCCCTCAGTGGCTCAGCGATAAGTCTGCAAATTTATGACGCTAAAAATCGGGTTTCATGGGCAGAGCACAGACAGCCCATTGTGTGGCTTTTTGCTTAACTATAAACAAACAAACAGTTCTTTTTTGCCCCCAGTAGCTCAGCAGTAAGTGTGCAGGTTTATGACGCTAAAATTCGGTTTTCGATACCCGTAATTGGCAGAGCACAGATAGCCCATTGTATAGCTTTGTGCTTAACTACAAACAAAGAAACCGTTCTTACCCCACCCCTCCTTGTGGCTCAGCGGTAAGCTTGTAAGCTTACGACGCTAAAAATCGGGTTTCGATACCCGTAATTGGCAGAGCACAGATAGCCAATTGTATAGCTTTGTGCTTAACTACAAACAAAGAAACCGTTCTTACCCCCACCCCTCCTTGTGGCTCAGCGGTAAGCTTGTAAGCTTACGACGCTAAAAATCGGGTTTCGATACCCGTAATTGGCAGAGCACAGATAGCCCATTTTGTGCTTAACTACAAACAAACCAACCCGTTACGTTTTCTTCTAAATAAGAATCGTTGCTTGATTTCACACAAAAAGACAGTTACACGAACATTACAATGACTTTGTTGATTCTCGTCCTAGAAGGTGATTTTTTTATTGAATCGAACTAATATCGAATCATAAAGAAACTAGTAGAATAGATTTAATGAAAATACTTTTTTATGTTCAGATGGATGATGTTCTAGTATCTTTTGTTTAAAATTAATCGTTTTTTTACCATGTTTAATAAACTGCGGATATTTTGTAAATAATGTTGATAATACATTAAATTATTTGTAATATTTTGTTCTATAATTCGTGACGTGCTACCAGTTAGAATAACTAAGACGTATTGGTTATTAAACATTTCAATGTTTATTATTGCCAGAAGTGCGGTAAGTCTGAAGGCTTATAACACTAAAAATCAGGTTTTGATACCCGTGTTGAACAGAGCACATTGTGTATAGCTTTGTGTTTAACAACAAACAACCCAGTCAAAAGTGATTTTATTCCGAAAGTTTGTCGGTGCTAGTTGACGCATGCGCTATTACTGCAGCCGGGAATGCAGAGAGCGACACTCCTGTAACGAACCAGACTTGCCTAGATCGATCTAGCCAAGTTGGCCGTCTCCCGATCAACGGACGGGGTTGTTTTAGTTAGCTAGCCAAGTTGCATCTCCCATTTTCCACCAGAACACGGGCGTGACGTCACAGCAAGTGGCGGCGTGTGCGTCGAGTGCTGCAGCCCGGTAACCGTTGCATCAAGTAATAGTCCAAGTGGTTTCCCGCTACTTCGCTCTAGACCGCGCCATTAGGGCTAGTTCAGCAGTTGCTACATTAGTATTATCACCCTGGCAGGTGTAGTGGGCTCTGTCCGAACTGGCATCAAAATTCTCACCAAAATTTCAAAGCTCCAATTTGGTGATAAGTGGGGGTTATCCCCCGTGCTGCGGCCACGGCGGGCCGAAAAGGGCTACCGGCGGCCGTCAGCCAGTAAGGGAGAAATGGGCAGCCAAGAGGCCGGTAACGGTAGTTTATTTCATTTCCCTGCTGATCATCGTAAATCTTCATCTTTTCTCCCGTCCTCCCCCAGGTCTCTACCGAAGCTCACCGGTGACGATCACTGCGGCGACGGGGACGGTTTGTCAGGACATCAAGGTCAACTCAACTGCAGTGGCAACTTCGAGCCCATCCCCCACGATCATGACTACTGCGAACGAGTTGTAGTGAATGTTAGCGGCCTGCGCTTCGAGACCCAACTCCGTACGCTGAATCAGTTCCCCGACACTCTTCTAGGTGACCCAACCAGACGTATACGCTACTTTGACCCGCTCCGCAACGAGTACTTTTTTGATCGTAACAGGCCTAGCTTTGACGCCATTCTTTATTACTACCAAAGCGGTGGACGTCTTCGCCGGCCCGTCAATGTTCCCCTGGATATATTTGCCGAAGAGATAAAATTCTACGAACTTGGCGAGGTCGCCTTCAACAAGTTTCGGGAAGATGAAGGATTCATTAAAGAAGAAGAAAAGCCGCTTCCAAGAGATGAACTTAAACAGAAGATGTGGTTACTGTTTGAATATCCAGAGAGCTCGCAGGCGGCTAGACTCATCGCCATCATCTCCGTCGTCATTATTCTCCTGTCCATCGTCATTTTTTGCCTGGAGACCTTGCCAACTTTCAAGCACTACAAAGTTTTCAACACTACAAGTGGGATCCTTAAGGTTGTGGAAGATGAGGTTCCCAAGCTAACAGAACCTTTCTTTATGATCGAAACTTGTTGCATTGTGTGGTTCACTTTCGAGCTACTTGTACGCTTCCTGGCCTGCCCCGATAAAATAGCCTTCTTCAAAGATGTCATGAACTCCATCGACTTGGTGGCTATTATACCTTACTTTATCACTCTGGGGACAGTGATGGCTGGGGAGAACCCTCAATCCACTGTCCAGGTCAATGAAAGAGTTAGCAGTAATCAGGCCATGTCGTTGGCCATTCTAAGGGTAATCCGTTTGGTGCGGGTATTCAGAATTTTCAAACTATCTAGACACTCCAAAGGCCTCCAGATCCTGGGTCGGACACTGAAGGCAAGTATGAGAGAGCTAGGCCTACTTATCTTCTTCCTGTTCATAGGAGTCATTCTCTTCTCCAGCACTGTCTACTACGCTGAGGCCGACAACGAAAAGTCCAACTTCAAATCCATTCCAGATGCCTTCTGGTGGGCCGTCGTAACCATGACAACCGTGGGTTACGGGGACATGCACCCTATAGGGGTGTGGGGCAAGATTGTGGGCTCTTTGTGTGCCATCGCCGGTGTGCTGACCATAGCGCTTCCAGTTCCCGTGATCGTATCTAATTTCAACTACTTCTATCACCGAGAAAACGACCAGGACGAGATACAATCACAAAACTTTAATCACGTGACAGCCTGTCCCTACCTGCCAGGAACTGTAGGGCTAAAACCCCGGCGAGATTCTTTGAGTGAGTCTGGATCGGACATCATGGAGCTTGAGGAGGGAGCTCTTCTCACCTGTGACCATTTGGATAAGAAGCCCAACTACAAACCACAGCCGAGTAACAACATCAGTGCCGTTGCTATAGAAACAGATGTTTGATAGTAGTGCAGTGGCGGACAAGTGGACCTTATTTTGTATCCTTTCAGGTCTCTTCATGCGAAGATTTCTTGCTATCTGGACAAGAAGCACACCTTCTAAATAATGTAAGTGATTTTTTTTTACTTCCACTTCTGATAGAAAACTCGGTTTGTGACTTACAACCACCAAAGGTGAGTAGACGATTTAAAAATACTTCCCTCCATTTTTAGTAATCACAATTGTAATTCTGGCCAATAAGAAGTTACTGTGTTTCCATTCATTTTAAGTATATCTACCTGAGTTAGTCCAGGAATTTTGATTTCTGAGTTTAAGTTAGCTTTGATGTGAAGGCATTTTGCGTTGTTAACGTAGAACAATATATTCTAGTAAATATGTTCCAGCATAGCAAAATCTTATGGTACAAGTTTATCAATCAGATTGCTCAAATAGGCCCTGAATATATTTTATTATAGGTATATCAATTTTTAAGAATATTTATTTGAAACTGTTACTGCAGTTGTCGTTAGTGAAGACTAGAGTTGTCTTCATTTTGCATTAGAATCAAAATTTCGAAATATATATATGTAGTGACTGATGTTAGAGCAACTCGATTTCATCAGTTACACAAACCAAAATAAAGGATTTGAGAAAGTTTTTGTAAATTGATAGAGGGTTTTAATGAAGATATTCCAAAAATAAATATAAATATTTTAAGTTTAAGGGTTTTAATTTCTTGTTATTAATGAATTGCAGCTAACACCAGTTTCTGCTAGTTTACGTATGAAACGTTAGCATCAGTTTCTGTTAGTTTACGTATGAAACACTTGCAATGCAGTTCTAATACTCCTGCTTCATTGATGGACAGATACGCAAGGATCTGCCAGAATTACTTAATTGGTATTGAACTTAATTTAACTGTACTTTCAAAGACTTATGAATGAATCTGTTAGCGAAATGCTAAGAGATTTTTGGAGTTATAATATTATTTAATGAGAAAGCTCTAAAACCTAATGCATTTGAGGATACCGTTTGCTGTTGTCAAATATGACTACTAATGACATTCCAAAGACAATTTTATATGTAAAGGACATGTGTAAGACGTGATTTCAACTATTTGCTGCTGTACAATTGACAACATGTTTAACTGGCGTCTGCATGCCTTGCCTGATGACGTCATGAAGCAGGGTATTTTGACGACTATCGATTTTACCAGATCAAAGTTAAAGTATTCATATTGATAGCACAAGTCCAGGTTACCCTTATTTTAAATAGATTTAGTGAGATTGAAATCCCCTTTCTCGCTTTTCCAATATCAGAATTGTTTCACTAACAGTTTAATCAGAATGAGAGATAAGTCAAAGAGGTAAAAAAACAAAAAAAAACATTTGCTATCGTTAGTTTATGAGTCGGCAAATGTAATTCCACCCCTGAAATGGTTTCTCTTCTGTCTTACACGACCGTCCTACAGAAAAGCACGCATTGCAGACAAAAATAGTTTATTACTGTTTTATAGACCCTGATGACCATTTCAACCGTATTACTGAAAAAAGGCATTAAAGTGGAAACGAATAAATGCTCTCTTCTTCTGTAATTGACTTAAATTTAAAAGTAATAGTCACAGTCAACGGGATATTTTCTCCGTGTTATTTTGTATTTCTGTGCAACGAACTTTTGTCTATGATTGACTTCAATTTAAAAGTAATAGTCACAGTCAACGGGATATTTTCTCCGTGTTATTTTGTATTTCTGTGCAACGAACTTTTGATCTATGATTGACTTCAATTTAAAAGTAATAGTGACAGTCAACGGGATATTTTCTCCGTGTTATTTTGTATTTCTGTGCAACACATTTTTGATGTATGATTGACTTAAATCTAAAACTAATAGCGACAGTCAAGGGAATATTTTCTCCGTGTTATTTTGTATTTCTGTGCAACACATTTTTGATGTATGATTGACTTAAATCTAAAACTAATAGCGACAGTCAAGGGAATATTTTCTCCGTGTTATTTTGTATTTCTGTGCAACACATTTTTGATGTATGATTGACTTAAATCTAAAAGTAATAGTGATAGTCACGGAATATTTTCTCCGTGTATTTTGTATTTCTGTGCAACAAACTTTTGGCGTTTTTAAATATCGAATCCATAGCTTTAAAGGAGCACGAACAATACATTAATGACTCTTTCGGAATATGTTAAAAGATTACGTTAGATTTAGAACATACTATCAAAGAGGTAGTATCGTGATCAAAACATGCGTACGCAGTTTCAAAGTTCATTATTCTTGTTGTTTTAATTCGAAATTATTCACAAATTGGTTGTGGATATGATAACTATTTATATGGAAATTATTATTTTTAAAGAATAAGTACAGTGTTCATTAGATTGCCACCTCCTAGGAAGGAGGTAAGTCTATACGTGGTTATATAATTTTCAGTATTAAATTTAATTAATTCAATATATATTTTAGGGATTTATAATATTACATTTAATATAAAACAATAAATTCCTTAAATAGTGATAACTACATTGGCGAAATGTGATAGAAATCTTACATGAAGCTTTACATGTGGCAGATCTACTTCGGTGCTTAATAATTCGTTAAGCAGGCCTAAACTTGATAAATTTTCTTGGGATGAAGGCCGAAAACACCGCTAACAGCAAGGATACCCAGCTGATGACCTAAGGCAGAATGGTCATAGAGGCTTTTTTGGGGGTTTACATGTCACTCACAATTAAGACTAATTATTGTTAACTGTAATTTTTATTTATGACTTATGATAAGATTTATTACATATTCAATAGACTATAGCCAATTATTTTGTTCCATTTGATTTCAGGTTAGAAAAATTAATCTTAAATAGTGTTTGAAGTTATGGTGAAAAGTTATTTAGATTAAATGCAATTCATACTGTCAATCGTTAAAAACGACATCATTAAATTCTAAACACGCGGCTATTTTTTTTACCTTTTTAATTGGACGATTATGTTTTCCTTGTTTTGTTTTTTATCTGTTGTAATCTATAAAAAAATGGTATATGGACATCAAAAGTTCATTGTATATACGCAAGTAATTAAGGACATATAGTTTCTTCGTGAAATAACAAGTTTTATTATCTTAACACTGTCTTCAACATAGATAAACAAATGCATTTGTTCTGCTGCTGTTGTTTCCCGAGGGTTCAGCAATAAGTTTACGAATTTAGAACGCCAAATCCGGGATTCGATCCCCGCAATGTACATAGCGTATGTATATATATATATATCCCATTTTCATCTTTTCACTAAAAACAAATATCAATCAAATCTGATTTTGTTATAGCAACAAAGGTTTATTTGTTCTCCAGATCTTGTTATATAAAGCTGCGTTTCTCAAACTAGGGTCCGCGAGTCACGTCCGAAATTTCATTAAAATATTTTTTTTAAAAAGATTATTTATAGAATAAAAGTTTTTTTTCCATAAAATTAAATTTGTATGAATTAAATTATTTAATTTTGGAATACAGCTTCTTATGTACACGGATTTTTTTATTTTTTTTTCAAAACAAAAACAACGATAGGTTTGGGGTCCGCTAAGAATAATTTCAATAAAAATGGGTCCTCGAGTTACCAAAGTTTTAGAATCGCTGATATAAAGAATTAGGTATTTTTATGATATACTATATGTAAGGTTAGTCTATTCATTTCTCAATTTGTTTATTATATTTTCTACACGTGTTTTCTCACACAGAAGCATATGTTTTGTAACTTACTCAATATTATACTTGAAAGCTGCTTTCTTCTATAATTTTTTCTGGTGCATGCTATCACTGTTACATACATATAAAATTGTCTTACCTCTTTCTTAAATTGAGACGTGTTTCTTTTAGCATTATCTATTCAAAACCAGCATAGTTATACAAGAAGGTGCGGCTACTTACCGATAAAAAACAGCGGCCCATGTAATTTCTTGTATTAGATATGATTACTCTACAAACTTTGTACAATTTTGAATGCTTAGTGACAATAGTTTGCTTACAATTTTAATCATCAGTATTTTCTCATTTTGGCGGCAAACTTTATTTCACATCTTTTTATCCCATTTAGTTTTTACGCACTCTTTTTTTTTTTACAGCTATGCTGGTTTTGGTTAGATGTCACTTATTTGCTGCACCTTTTTTACAGCTATGCTGGTTTTGGTTAGATGTCACTTATTTGCTGCACCTTTTTTTTTTACAGCTATGCTGGTTTTGGTTAGATGTCACTTTTTTGCTCCACCTTTTTTTACAGCTATGCTGGTTTTGGTTAGATGTCACTTTTTTGCTGCACCTTTTTTTATAGCTATGCTGGTTTTGGTTACATATCACTCTCTTTTTTTGTTGCACATTAGGTAAAAATAGCCACAAAGGACATCAATTTTATACTCAGACATACTTTGGAATAATTAGCCTCAAGCAACTAGGAAATTTGAAAACATTATAATACAATTGCATGAGGGTGTCTTCAGTACTTCAATAACTTTGGGTTCATATATTTCAGTTGCTTTATTTTTGTCCACACCTTTTACAGCCAAGTTGTTTTTCAATAAATACCATGTTCCTTGTATAGTTTTATATAGTAGATAGTGATGTTATAAAATATGCTAGCTCTATGCCAGAAATGAAGAAAATCACGTACAGGGAAGCGTTTTTATTAGTTTGAAGTCTGATGTAAAATTTTTCACACGATGGTGGTTTGGGGCTCATAACTTCCGGATTTCGCGTCTGATTTTTATAAAATTAAAAATTTTCCACTTCTAAGAATCCCCTAATGTGTGCTAGGAATTTCAGCGCGATCGAACTGGCCAATTTGTCTCCAGGCAAGTGCAAAAATTTACAAAGATTTAGCGTAATGTTTCTTATTTTTGCTCATATCTCCAAGAATAATTGAGCTAGTTTAAACAAATTTGCTGTCAAACTAGGGGAACATATATGCCAGCTATGTACCAAATGTGAAAGAAATTGATTAAATGAAAGTTGTTGTTTTTTCACTGGTGCGAAGAATAACAAACAACGAAGAATATCAGGCTAAGTTTG